GGAGGCCGTCAAAATTGAATTGCGCCAGCGCTCGAAGAGTTGGTTTACAGGGTGAGTTGGTTTATTTTGAGCTGAAAAAAATAGGGATTTAAGCGTCTATGAAGTCGATGAAGTTGTAAAGCTTTATTATACAAACATTTCCTTTTTTAGGCTTGCCAAGCGGGCACGTGGATGCAGATGATTTCGAACGGAGTGCGTTTTTGAGCAATTTTGTGGAGCCGCCGCTTACCGGAATCTGTCTGACGATTTTGAAGGTCCTTTTTGGTTGTACTTGGGTGTAAAACGTACTAGATTACTAGAAATGTTTAGAAATGTAAAGTAAATCAATCAAACGCCAATTTGTACCCCTTTCTAGGCCAAGTCGATGCGCTATGGACAGACGTTGCTGGTGTCACCATGGAAAGCGCCGAATTTCTTTTGTCCCCTCCCGGAAGATCGATGGATGTATGTGAAGGTGAACTGTTTCCTTACTCTTGATCTAAAGTCTGTTTTTCTTAGATTATGGTAATGGGCACACCGTTCTACGTGAACCGCGGCGTTTTGGCGATCTACGGCTCTGAAGAATACCTAGGCACAGAGAATCCAGGTACGTTTCTGGTGATTTGAAAGCTTATTTTTCTGATGATGTTGTGATATTTTAGAGGAACTTGTCGCTATTGCTACAAATGAATTCATTGAGAGTTGCAAGCAAGCCACTGTGGGAGAGGTGTGTTTTGGTTTTTTTTTAGGATACTATGAGCTTAAGTTAACGGATCTTTTAAAGCTCTTGAAATTTACATGGATCTTATGATTTGAGTGCAGTGACACGTTTATTGGTCTAATTTTAGGTGGTGATGTCGTTGTTCACTTGGTTGCATCCATTGACCCCACCGATCTCGTCCCGTCTTCTGCGTGCCGCCCTTCTCTTTGCTCGTCAACACAAGATGTACATTGTCCGTCAAGGGGGAGCAAGTTGGGGTCATCGTTGTTGCTTGAAACAGTACATTAGCCTTATGCATGCACTGAAACTGGGCAAAATCCCACTGCTTGATTCTCGGGCCGCCCAAGTCGCGAAGCGTTTGCTGAGAATTGTGTTGGCCGGCGTGGAGCTAATTTTTCAGGACTAATCTGCACGAGTCGATGGGAGGTTTGGAAAGTTTTGGGTCTAAAAGGTTTAGTTGCTAACTTTGGTACCGGATGTTGAAGTTAATTCTAGATTCAAAATAAGTATTTTTAATTTAGCCAAATTTTCGGCAACGACATGATCAGTCACCCGCTCTTCCACCAGCTCTCAAAGGCGCTGAAGGAGCGAATCGTCGATCGGGCGGGATGGCGCCTTCTCATGCTCGGGATGGGGCCTTCTCACGCACATGCTTACAAAGAAGTGGGTTTTTTGTTATTCTTTGAGTCTTTTTTAAAAAGATAAACCAGGCTAATTCGAGTACGGTTTGAATTAGCCTAATTGGGTTTAAAACTGGTTTTGAAACGACTTTATCATCTGCTTTCAGGCAAGCGTCCAAGCACTACCTGCGCATCGTGGACATGGCGGTGGACCACCAGTTAATTGTTTAAGGCTTTTAAGCTCTAGAAGTTAATTGTTAGTGTTGCCTGGCTGAAGCTAATGTTTTTGTTTAGATTGAGGAGGGCATGTGCCCAGACGTTTCAATCGATAAACTTGCAATCGATTTTTGGACCACGACACGAGATGCACGATTTGGCTGAACAGGTTGAGTTTTAAAATTTTAAAAATGGTTAAAATTTAAAGGGCTGTAAAGCTCGAACGGATTGAGCTTTCTCTCTCTAAAAATCTCTAAAAACCTGGAAATTGGTTTCCAGCTGAACTAACTCATGAATCGACTATCTGTTCAAATTTTTATCAAATTTTCGAACTCCAGGAGCTCCACATTGAGCAACAACAAGAGGTGACGGTTGAGGGGAAGGATTCGGTAAAAATTTGAATTGAATTGAGCAACGATTATTTAGCAGATTCTTATTTTCGTTTTTATTCGTGTTTTTTGGTGCTTCACTTTTTGCTTTGTGACTTCCGTGGTTATGATGTATTTGAGGGAAATAATAAAATTGTATCTCGTGTTGTGCTTGGGAAATTGGTGTTGGCTTTAAATTTAGGTTGTTTCTGAAATAGTAGAATTTTAGTACAGAGATCAGTACAAGGAAAAGAATCCTGAAAATTTTTGGAAAATTTCGGATTTTGAACTTTTTAGAGTGATTCCACTCGATGTGCCGGAAGCTTTCAATGCTGAATGTCTTTCTAAATGGTTTATTTTATTTTATAAAGCTCAAAAATTCAAAGAAGACGAGAAAATTATGAATTTTGAGTAAAAAAGGAGCTAATCTGAGTTTAAAAATTTTTGCTTTGAAATTTTAAAGTTTTAAAAGATACGGGAGAAATGAAAAATCGGGTTTTGGGTGATTTCCAAAGATGCTGATATGGTTTTTACAAAAATTGCTTGATTGATGCAAAAAGGTGATTGATTTTGAATAGAAAAATGTGGTTAGAGAGGGCACGGATGTTCCGAACAGGCCTTCGAGTCTGTAAGCCGGGCTGATCAGTCCGGGTCAAGTGGTGTCCGACCCAAGCCTGTAACCTCGATGCATTGTGAGCAAGAAACATGATGCCATAATTTGTGTATATAAGTCAGAACAAGTACATATAGGTAAGAGGTTATTTGTTTTTTGAATTATTTCAATTATTTGAATTTTCAAAATCGATAAGTGAAAGAACAATAACAATACAGTAATCACAGTCAGTTTTGAGTTTTAAATAAATTTTTGATAGACATATTATTTTCGACTATACTTATCCCGCATAGTCATATGCAAATTTGATTTGACCAAATGATTTTGTAAGCAAAGAAAGAGGAAAAATGAAAAAATGATTCGATTTCCCAAATCCCTCTCTCAACACGTGGGACCACCTTCGGTGCATGCGAATTGCACAGGAAAGAACTGGAAATTTTTGGTAGAACTAATCGCCATAACATTGCCGAATAAAGTCCTACTTTGGATTGGAACCAATTGAACAATTGAACAATTGAAACTAGAGATTTCAGTTTGTGATCTTACCAACAGGAATGAACACTAATTTGGTATGCAGATAATTGAAAAAAAACAAATGTTAACCTCATTTCTTTGGTTTGAGTGATGTTCAACGTGAAAATTGCCATTTTCAAAAAATTTTACACTTGATAAGTTGGGTTTTAATTTTCTGCATAAGGTAAGGCTTTTCTAGCCTTCAGATTGTTGCCTTACTTTGCAAATAGCAAAGAAGGTTTTAAGAAAGGTTTTTTCTCTTTGATAACTTCTCAAAGCACTCACAAACAAACATGTAACGTCGGGCCCAAAAGTCCATGTGCCCGTTGCGTCACAAACGATCGTTCCCTCGATGCTCACAGTCATACATGCTTGCCCGAAAGCCGAAAGCTTGCCACGTACCGCCCTGAAATTCGGCATTCGATTTTATAAGCTTTTTTAAACATCGAGTTGAGTAGACGTTTATGGCCTGGCTACCGTAACCCGACTCAATCAGGGTATTTTAACACGACTCAGATATTTGGTAAGGCAACTACGGGCACGTCCTGAAAACAAGCATGGTCCGGTACCTTAATGCGCAAACTAGATCGTATGGTGCGGTAACAGCAAAAAACTACCATGCGCATCTTGCTGAACTGGGAACGATATCAAATGAGCGCCGCAATCAAAAGGATGCCAAGCCTTAAATCTTATTCAATGCAACCACGAACTGCGTTTTAACCTTTTTTCTTGTTATCTTTTCTTTAAAGTTTCTGCATTGATTTCAATTCTTAATGAATCCATTCAACAATTTAATAAAATAACAAAAATGATAGCAATATTTAAAATCGATGATGTAAAAGGGCAGAGCTTTTAGAACGTCTTAAGAACGAAAATCTAGCCGAGCTCTTTTGAACAGCGCTCTTTTGAATGGCGCTCTTTTGAATGGCGCTCTTTTGAATGGCGCTCTTTTGAACAGCGCTCTTTTATATTGTCCCGCGGACCGATCAACTCTCGGTCCGAAGATTGGTCTATTCTAGTGGCTTGCTTGCCAAAGTGGCTGGTCTATTCTAGTGGCTGGCTTGCTTGTTGATCTTTTTGCACAAGCAAGCCTCAATTTCGGAATGGAGCCTGCGTTAACATGCTTGCGTAACAGTGACTAACAGGAATGTAGTCTGGTAATGTAGTCTGCAATCTATAATAACTAGACTAATTACCCATAATATCTTCTTTTTCTTCCTTTCTCTTCCCCATGTATTTCTTTCTCCCTTACCGGATACCAGTTAGACTTTATATTTCTGAAAAGCAAAAGGTCGAGGGTTCAATCTTTGCCATTCCTTACTTCACTTTATAATAAATATTTATAAGATGGCTAGGTGCTGGATGAGTTAAACTTACAATGTTCGCTTCGGCGAGGATGTTGCCGGCGGGAGATGTACAGGTGAGCATCGCATTTCGGCAACCATTTGCGTCGGTGCTGCAAAATAACGAGAATTTCCGCTTTCCTCGAGTAAAAAATGCTATTTAGTCAACCACTTTGGTCATGAACAAATTGAAAGATCTTACTTTGAAATGTATTGGGAAGAGGACGAGATCGTCGAGCCCCCGCTCAAAGTTTTGCTAAAAAAAGTGAAACTTGTGGAGTGTTTGTATATCGAACACATCACGGAAACCTGAGACCTGAGGAAACCCAAATCAAAAACATTTCAATCAATTTTCACAAAAAAGGACCGATAAACAGCTCGTAAATGTTTTGCAAGAAATTTACGGTAACAAATTTTTTAAACACATTGAAGCGAACAAAAATTGTTAAAGTGTCATCAAAGATTGAATACAGAAAAGACAAGTCACGCTATTGTACCTCACACCAAAAATTCTGGAGTTAATTGGATATTTATTTTAAATGTAGCTGAGACTCGCTTCATTTAAAGAGGTAGAGAGCGATCGTCAAAGTTGCGGCGCAAAATGTGTCAAATCCTTCAATTTTTGTATGGGATTTGACACAGTTTGGGTCACAACTTTGAAGATCGATTTCAACTACTTCCGGCATCGAATCGAACTGGTTTTTTTAAAATATGGCTGAAACTATTTTGATTCAATTTTGACGGCCTCCGGAATCTTCCGCTCGATGCCCCAATCGGGATGGTCCCAATCGAAATGGCGCGACGAAATGGCGTTTCCACTTCGAAAGCGTTGGCGGCACAAACGAGGCCTAAAGTAAACACAAGTAGTCACATCTTAACTTCAAAAACCTCTTATTACAGCAACTAGAGGACCCTTTTACAAAATTACGTCCTTAAAGTTAATTGCGCTTAAAAATCACAGATGACTTAAGCGTTTATTATAACTTTACATAGCAATAACATACCTTTGCCTATAGATTGGCATCCGCGTCGGGTAGGTGAAGTTGAGCAGGGTGAGAAAATCCGAGCGGCAAAACGGCGACACGTCGACGCGGCCTCCGGGCGGCACTTCGCGCATCAGCTCTTCTAAAAATACACGCATTCTCCCAGAATGGTTATCTTGTAAAACCTAATAAATCATAATTCTAATACTTGAGCCCAAAACAACACTTACTCATGTAGGGCGAATGGTGTGCAAGCAGGGCTCTCCACGTGGTGAGCGGTTCTCCGTCGGGAAACATCAGCGTCACGTCGCCGTCGTTGAACTTCGGATGGGGTCACTCGATCTAAAAAATACCAAAATGTAAACTTGCCCACAATACAAGTAAGATCCCTCCTGTTAATCCATGTATTCTCATTATCAGTAAAGCATCCCTTAAACCCAACCCACCAAGTTGACGAAACGCATTTCGATGTGCAACACGGCCACTCGCTCATCGACGACCTGCACGCTAATGGAGGATGAGGCATATATGATGAAAAGTGGAAGACATCCTAAAAAGTTATTTGTTTACAAGTTTAGCAGCTTATCTAACTTTTGCTGCAACAAATTTATAAAGCTAAATCATTAATACTGCTGGAATTTCAAGCTGAATATTTAGAACTTAACAAAGATAACAAAAAATTCTACCTTGTCCCTGGAATAACGGCATCCATCACCGGTACGAATGCGCACCTAAATACAAAAATATTGATTTTGAAGGCACGAGCTTGTTGTTTTATAGTCTATGATCAAACTTTATCCGAGAAAAACAACAAACCTTATCAACATAGGAGATTTCGAGGGGTTTCTGTGTGGAAAGGCGGATCTCGACACGGCGAAATGTCTAAAAGGTAACTTTTAAAAAACTTTAAGGCTTAGGATTTGCACAAGCGTCAACTTTATAAAAAAACTGGTCTTTTAATGGTTATGATGCTCAAGCATAAAATGTGAAGCCTGCTTTACATCAGTAAATAAGTCAAGTATATGAATTTCACCGCAATTGTGCCACCACTTTTAAGCTTTTAAACGTAATTTTTAAAGCTCAACTTTAAGACCAAACCCTTACCGGGCAAGTGATGATCTTGGCGATGAAATCAGCATTTCCGAAGCGAAAAATGAATCCGTTGAGAGGCGGGAGGAGGGGCATTTGCGGTCATTAAAGTCTTTACTTCTTATATAACCCAGTAAACGGCCACTCACTTGTTCCGGTTGATCCATTTGGTCAATTTGCTCGCTGAAGGGCTCATCGTTCATGTCATGCGCCGTTGAAGCACTCTAAACAAGAGGAAATTCGTCAAATTTGTAAAAATTAAATAAAGAACCAAAATAGTAGCCGGTTTTAACAGTTCAAACCATTCAGAAGCAACTTTAACAATCAAATTGAGTAACTAAACTAAAAAAAGCCGATTTAAACAATTCTAAACCGTTCCAAGGCCTGTTTCTGCCTTTTTTTGTACAAACATTAGTCAAATCAGGCAATTAAATGAAAATTTAATGAAAAGCAATCAAAAAACCACTTACCAAAAGCGAGAGATGTGAGAAACTTTGCATTTTGAGAAGATCAGCTTGACAAGATCGAACCGCAGAGAAAATGAAGAGAAGAGTAAAAATAATATGGCTTTCACGGGAAATCGTCGCATTTTATTTAGCCTATAAATGTAAATTTCTCAAAATCCATTTGTGCTTTGAGCTTTTGAATGAGAACCTTGAAACGCAGCTTTTCCAGGTTGTTTGACTGTTTTATTACTTCTGTATAAGATTTCTGTACATGTACCACATTTATCAACAACAAGAAAAAATGATTGAAAGGTGGAAAAAAGAGCCGATTTTCAATGATTTTTTCTAAGTGCTGGTTATATGTGTTATATCTTAAAAAATCACCCATCCTCTCTACTTTAATTTGATAATCGAACACGCAGAAACAAACGTACTGGTGCCAAGATATGAGCGTTTGTTTGAGAATAAACTTACACTTACAAATCTTACAAGCCAAATCCAAGTGTACATAGTGATGAAAAAAAATCCAAAGTGAAATTTTCTAAAGCAAAATCTTTTTCAATGTCATTGTTCAAGTAATCAAGCAAACTCTAGCCAAACAATGCCCCAAAAAACAATCTTCAAATCAGCAAATTTTCAAAACCCCCGGCACAAAACTATACTTTTGCTTTTGCTCCCAATTTTTCCCAATCTCAATTCCCATCTTTTCCCTCAAAAAGTCCAAATTTCCGCATTTCTTGGTCTTTTCCCCTGATTATCTCCACATTTTTCGCCTCCAAGATCACATTTTCACCAATAAATCACGGGAAATCAGGAAAAATTGATAAATTTTCTTCACACTTTTTTGTGATTTCTCTTCCGCTTTTCTGAATCACATTTATCCGTATCAGACTTTGCGAAAAATCGCCGCCAAAATGAGATTGTAGTCTATCTGGAATTGAAAATTCGTAAACAACGTTCAATGTAAGCATTTCAAAAGCAAGCCCAACACGTTTTCCTAGGGGTAAAATAGGTTTAGACAAATTAAAATCGATTTCCCATTGATAGATTGGAGTAAAAATCCCCGGGTACAAGCTTACAACTTTCATTTTCAAAAGCAAGAGAGAAATCTTTGTTTTTCTCTTGCTCTTCTTCTCCTCTTTTTTGTGCTGCTCAAAACCCCGTAAACACCCCACTTTCTGGCGCACTCACTTCTTCAATTTTTCCCCCACAGTAACGAGAGGGAAATGGAGGAAATGAGCGCACCAGAAAGGGGGTTGTTTGCGAGATTTGAGAGCACAAAAGTATCCATTCCTAGCTACCAACAGAATGGTGATCGATAATTACTCAGATATTCTGGCGTCATTGATTACAAAAATTCCTCAAGTGGCAATTTGAAACATCCAATTTCAAAACATTCAAACTATTTATTTTCAAGGCTTTTTTATTCTTTAATTCTTAATTTAGTGAAATTCACTTAAAACTTGCAAAAATTCAAAGATAAACTGCAAGCTTTGGTTTACAAGTTGATTGTTGCTGATAAACGACCTCGAAACCCTTTTTCCAGACTCAAGAAAGAATTTAACTTTCGTAATTTATTAACTTTCGGAAAATACGGTACTTGAAGATCCAATTGGAAACAAACTCAAATTAGAATCAAACTCTTTGCCTATGTCCATCCAAATTTGAAATCAATTTCACCTAATTTTCAGGCAAAGACGCGTGGCAAGTGTGCTACGACTTGCAGGCCTGCTTCGGCACTGAACCAACCCACCAAAGCCACCCGCACACAATGGAACCAAAGCTCAAGAAGAAATACTTCTAAATCACTTTAGAATCAAATAAAATTTGTACATAGCGGCAAAAACATACTTAATTACTTTCTCTTCTTTTGACTAGAAGTAAAAGAGCACCGAGAACTTTCTAAAAGTTGAAACATTCAAATTATTTTTGTGCTGAATTTGGCTGCATTTGCATTCAGTTAGTGAAATGATTTCAAATCTGGTACTACCTTTGACTTTTTATAAAAAAACTGATCCCGGATTCAGATTTTCCACTCCCAAAAGCCACCGGTTACAAATTTTGAGTAAAATCAGTGTCAAATAAGTAAGTCACTCCGGTAGAATCAAATTGAAGGCTTAATTGAAAATCATGGATTGCCATAGAAATTGAGTACATTGAAACAGCAAATTGGCAATTTTCTATTAAGCCTTAGAACTTTCGACTCCTCCAAAAAGTGTTTCAAATCCTGTTCTGCGTCGTTCAAACCTAAATTTTACGTAGAAACTTTATTTTAAGATACTCAATTCGATTTATCTACTTTAATGAATTTAAAATAAGATTATTTGATTGAATACTCGTGATAAAAATCAAATGTTGCACAAAAATCCGAGCTGCAAATTGCGACTTCAAGATTATCCAGGATCTTGTGAAAGTTGCAACATGATTTTTTCAAAAAACCTTAGAAAAACAATTTTTGTTTTTTCTAAAAGGTGAACAATTAAAAGGTGAACAATCTTATTCAGAATTTAGAAAGAAAGCTACCGTAATCTTTCTTTGCAATTTTGTTCAAAAAATTACCGATCATTCAAAACTCACGAGTTAAAAATTTTACCTTAAAATTGACTCAGAAAGACAAAGAATTTACAAAGAAGCAGAATAGAATGAAAGAAGTAAGTGCACCAGAAAGCGTGCGTTTACAAGATTGCTTTGTTTGAGAACTCAAAGTGCACTTGAATTTACGATGCTTTGAATACTCGATCCTGCCACTAAGCTGTAAACTCGATAAAGCTTTCTAAAATCACATGTTTCAATTTTTGTAGCCTGATAAAGAAGAGGTACAATTAATGAGTCTTTTCTAATATAACTAACATTTATTAAAATAAACTCAAAAATCAATCTCAACCACACTGAAAGACTTTTTTAATAAAAAACTCGTTAAAAGTTTATAGATAATTGAAACAAACCGTTTGAAATCTAGAATTCAATAAAAAGATCAATCTAGAAGCTGAGCAAATTAAGACTTCAAGGATCATCGGATATCAACGATGAAAATAAACAAACAAATGAGCTTCTTTATGACATGAAATCCACCACTCCACTCATTAACAGCGGATGCGCAAAGAAGCACACGTCACCCCACGAGCACACCGATTTCCGGCTGAAAATTCATGTGTTTCATTTCAGATTTAGTGTACTTTATGCTCTAAAAGGTAGGCAAAACAGGCAAAACAGGTAAATTCGGGTTTGTCCAACACCGCCTGCCTTGAAACTGCCTTGAAAGCAATGTGTTATTGGATTACGATGTGCACGAACTACTTTCTGAGTTTTAAAATAGGATAGGAAAGAGGGGATAGTCTTTTTACAAATCTACAAATCTACAAATCTACAATCTACTTTTTATAAATCTCTTATTACTATAAGAGAAAAAGATAAAAAGTTTCAAGTTTTCGGTCTTGAATGAAAGGATTTAAACTCTAATATCTGTACAATCATTCGTCTACAATAAAAACCCATCTTCCCCCTCACGAGGGGAAATTGAAGAATTCAGTGCACTAGAAAGGGGGATGTTTACAGGAGTGAGAGCATTTTTGTGAGCACAAAGCACAACACATCAGTCTTGATTCACTCTTGATCTTTAACAAGCACTAACGCTGATAAGTTCGAAAATTTGAGATGTTTCGTGGTTTAAATTTTCTATGTTTCAAAATATCTATTTAGTTTTGAGAAATTTACATAAATTAACGACTACGCGAAAATACCGGCGTTCCGTATCGTACCGCAAGTACAACAAGTACCGCAAGTACAACAAGTACCGCAAGTACAACAAGTACCGCAAGTACAACAAGTACCGCAAGTACAACAAGTACCGCAAGTACAACAAGTACCGCAAGTACAACAAGTACCGCAAGTACAACAAGTACCGCAAGTACAACAAGTACAACAAGTACAACAAGTACCGCAAGTACAACAAGTACAACAAGTACCGCAAGTACAACAAGTACCGCAAGTACAACAAGTACCGCAAGTGCCACCAGTCTGCATCACATTAATACTTGCACAACAGTATCATAGTAGCATTATTTGAAACAAACCTTTTTCCCGTTAAAACTCCTCGGCCACCACAATGCCGGCACAATGTGCTCGCTGTAAACCACGCAAATAGGGCAAAGCCTGGAATTCGAAGCGTTTTTACAATTTTGATTGATAAGACGCGAAGCAGAGCTATTATTTTAACCGGCTTTACACTAGCTCAACTTTGAAACCGACTTTCTTTTTGGGTTCTGCCCGGAGCGATGAGCCTTGATGCAATCCTCACAAAATCGATGCCAACAATTGAGAAGAATGGCGAATCGCTTGAGCTGAATTACTTGAATTGAGTGCGCCAGAAAGGATGTTTACGGGATTTGTGAGAGCATAAAGTACACTGGAACTCTGCCAGAAACATTAGACAAAAGACAAAAAAATCCATCATTGGATTGAATTACCTGTAGCGAACAGCACCCACTTTGAAACTTGAAAATTTTAACAGATTTTGAGTTTTTATGATTTTACAAGATAACTGTACAAGATAACTGTAAAATCATAAAAACTTAAAATCTGTTAAAATTTTCAAGTTTCAAAGTGGGTGCTGTTCGCTACAGGTAATTCAATCCAATGAGAAGATTTTACGCAACCAAATCTTATGAACTACGGTAGTTTTCCCATTCCTTTTACTCAAATTCATGGTTTACTCTAGAGAAAATGGGATTTACGAGTACAGAGTACACCTTTACAAAGTACACCATTGACCAACCTTTTCACGGTGCCACGCCTCACATTTCTCGCATTGTTGTAGATTTTTGTGAGATAAACCTAAAGTGCTCAACTTTTCAAGCATTTAAGCAGTTTATTTTTTAAGGCATTTAATGAAAGAAAATCAAAGTCTAGACAAAAAGCCTTCTTTTCACTTACACGAACTTCATGTTTCAAATGATAATGAATGGTGAAACAGGTGGCTTTGAAGAATGTGAAGCTTAAATAGCTTTTGGAAATAGCAATCCGTAGCAAACTACCGTAAATACTGTAATTGGACC